AAAGTGGGGTAGAAGGTTAGACACAACATTCTTTCTCAGGAAGTCAAGGACATGTTGCCTGCACTTGAAGGGGAATGACTGAGGGGATGTCTCCAGTTGAGACGAAGATTGATAGGACACTGGGGTTGGATCTTTGATTTCTCTTTTGAGTAGGAAAACCCAGAATTCTCAGAATTGGCAATATGACAACTCTAATAAAATGGAGCTTTGAGGAACAGCTTGTCTTGAAGTTTATTGGTTTGCAGTTGGTTAGTTGGAACACTGACAAAATTATCATTATAAACCCAATATATTAGCCAGTATTTTAACACATAGCAAGCTAGGTGTCATGACATGTAATATTTGGCCATTACAATTGGAGCAGGCTTAGTTTGTAGCATGGAAGACTTCATCCATGTTTTTGAAGAAAACATCAGCTGACATCAGCAAACAGAAAAAATAAAGCAAAGGTAGAAAATCCTGATGTAGTGATTCTAAAACTAGCATTTTCTAGCTGTGTTGGAACTGCATCTTCTAAAATTACAAGCCTTAAGCTAAAAATTCTGGGAATATATATAGCCTACCATATATTGGCAGTGCCAAGGTGGAAGATGTTCTTCTATATTATAAGTACCATCCAGCATAAATAAATCTTTTGACATGCCATTGTTGTTGTCTCATGAAAAGACATTTAGTATCATGTTGAACTTTGCATTTGAAATCACTAGGATTTAAAGTGCCCAACTTTTCTTAAGGATTAAATATTCTTGTGTTATCAATATTCTGTTTACATGGAATCATAGGAAGCAGTTATCTGCTTGTCCTAAATCTGCTAATTAACCAATTAACTTTCTAATCTGAGAATTCTCAAATGATTTTATGTGGAGTCAAAATAACAGGTGTAACTGGGGAAGATACATAGCTTTTCATAAACATTGAGTCTGAACATCTGTTTTAGTGAAAAATTCATCTCATTTATGGAGAAAATAGGGTATAAATCACCTGATAACTGTCAGAAATGCCCTCAAAGTATTGCCTAGGCATGTTCCAAACTAAAGTTAATGGGACTTGCATCTGCACACACTTCTGAAAATTAAGGGGTGTGATTGTTCTGAACATTAAATACTTTAATGTTTTGTACAATTTCGGTTGCTGCTAATCATAAATTTGCAGATCACACATAGATTTTCTAAAGGGATTGCAATGCATGCAGTGATGCTTTTCTGGTTCATATACTTGCAATTCTTTTAAAGCCATATTTTCTTTTAAAGGTGCCAGATGTGATGTTAATTTCCCCATGCAGTATAAAGACATTCTGATTTAGTGAAAATAGCAAGTGTATACTATAGATTATACTAGAAATTTGAAAGAACATTTACCAGACTACTTTCCTTCATAGGACAATCCACAAGAATGTTAATACTTCTTAGTGATAATTGTGTCAGTCTTGATGGGAAACAATAATAATAAAAACAAATAATAAAAAAGCAATATACCATACAGGTAAATGGTTTGTGGGAATGGCCTTGGGAGACTGGACAAAAATAATAGGGAACATAGCCACAGCTACATATTGGGTGGAGCAAGAGTGTCAGGAGGGTTCCCCACTTCCCAAGTTCTTGGGCTATAAATATCATGGCAGAAGAATTGTAATTTTAGATTTCCAAGATTCTGTTAATGTAGCTTTACAATAAAGTAAATTAGTTTATCTGGCCTTGAATACTGTCTGATTTACCTGATAAGGCTGACAGCTTTTTTCTACAGTCACTGTTTGAGCTACAGTTGTTGCTGTTCATGAACTTACTGTTCTGGAATGAAAATAACTGATACAAGGACTGGCACTTCGTCTACATAGATTTCAGTCAGTTAATTTGTTGTAGTGGTTTTGAACAAAGGACTTCATTGTTTCTTTAAAAATATAACTTTTACACTGGTGATGGAAGTTCTCGTGTTGGATTACAAATGCCTTCATCACTCAGTTTGAGTTTGGTTGTGGAAACTGAAGACATTGAAAGTACAAAGATTCTCCATTCCTGATTCAATTTCACAGTGGAAAATCTTTAGTTGGAGCATTCTGATTCCATGAAAGAATCAGTATTAGCTCAGTGGTACAAGTAGCCCGTGTCCTTCCTTTACTTAGGACTTGAGATGATTTGTTCAAAATTAGTCTCCATTAGCCATACTTCATGGCTGCAAGTCCATTTCCAATTATTATGTTACAATGCACGAATAGATACTCAGCGAAATGTACACATTGGCTTAATTGATTGAAGTTTAGTATAGATTCAGAATCAGGAGATTCAGAAGAATCAAGAGAAGTTCCAATTGTTAAGTTTTTCAGAAAACGAGTGTCTTGAATTTATGGACATAAAAAATTCACAGCGTTGTTATTATGACAAAATAGGAAACAGAACAAGTATTAAGTATATTGGTTGCTTTGATTTATTTATTTAAAAAGGGGATTAAAACCTAAAAATCATTATAAGCAATATATTGATTGAACTAGCTTGACAAGGACAGAATCAAATGTACAGATGATTGTAGCAAATTTATAATAATGTTACATATTTTAGCTAAGAAAGCATTAACCTGGGTAATTTTGCAAACTGATTTGATTATTTAGCCAAATAGAAAGATGTAGTACGTAATTAAAATGTGATATAATTATTTGTAATTAAAAATTAGAAACAAATTACAAACGTTTGTTATCTAGTAATGAAACATCTGCAAGCAAACAACCAAGTTCAGAAAAATGCATGACAAATATATAAATTTGTTTGGTTCTAGGTCAACTTTAAACACAACATATAATTTGAATGTCATACCTACAAGGCACCACCAATTTGTTTAGTATTGGTAGAAGCAGAACATTTCTGGGGCTTGATGGGAATCTGAATATTTTATTATGATTCAGATGATAGATGTCAGATATCTTGGATTATTACATTAATTTAGAACCTAAATCTGGATTACTTCTATTAATGGCACTTGCTGATGTATAAAGAACATATTCAAAAAGGACATGCGTTTTTTTTTAAATATCTTCATGTTTCTTGGCAGACATAGACTATCAAAAAGATTTAATATTTGCTTTTACTGTAGGGTTATATATGGCATGGCATTCCTTATGTTTTCCATTGAATTTTACTGCTAAAAAATATCCATGAATTTGTGTCAGTGAAAATGCTACTATATATACATTATGTTTGGCAAATAATATTTTCTTTTATTTGTTAATAGCTTCATTGGATTTTATTAGCCATGGTAGTGTAAAGGTTAGAATGCAGTACTGCAGGGCTAACTCACTACTCCCTCCAGGGTTCAATCCTGATCAGCTCAAGGTTGACTTATCCTTCCTTCTTCCAAGATTGGTAAAATGATGACCCAGATTGTTGGGGGCAATCTGTTGACTCTGTAAAGCACTGTGAAGCGATATATAAGTCTAAGTGCTATTGCTATTAGTTGTATCTATAGGGGTGATCCTCTATTTTCCCAGAATACAGAATGCATTCTGTTTTCATGCTCAGTTTCCTCACCTTGAGTCTTGTTTAAGGTTCCATACTGCAAAAACCATTTATTTGGACAATGTACAAGTATTCATTCAATGTGCACAAACACATGCACATCTCTTTCCTGAAATTAAAGAAATAATGCCTGAATGTGAACTATTTTTTCTTGATTATTTTTTAAAAAAATATAAACTTATGTATTATTATGTATTATGTATTATTATGTATTATTATGTATTATGTATGTTAAACATACAGGTAGCCCTCAACTTACAACATTTTTTTTTAAATCACCAGTCAAAGTTACAACAGCACTGAAAAAAGTGACTTATGATCATTTTGCACTTTTAAAACTGTTGCAGCATCGCCATGTATCACTCAATTTACATTTGGATACTTGGCAACTGGTTCATATTTATGACAGAGTCACGTAATCACCTTTTGCAACCTTCTGACAAACGAAGTCAGTGGGAAAGCCAAATTCATTTAACAACCATGTCACTAATTGAATAACTGCAATGATTCACTTAACTAAATGTGGCACGTGAAGTTATAAAATGGGGCAAAACTCACTTAACAAATTTTTCACTTAAAAATATACATTTTGGTCTCAATTGTGGTCGTAAATCAAGGACTACTTGTAAAGAGATCAAAATAGAACCTGGTTCTTGATTAATGCAGCTGGGAAAGACTAGCATGAAGGACTTACTTTATATTATTTTTTTGGAAGCTTTGCTTTTTGAGAGACTCATGTATTCTTGTGGCTGAAGACAAAGAGGAAAGGTGATAAAAATCTGAGAGTCTTATGAAGCCTACTCCCTGTTTCATTCTTAACTGCAGGCAGCATGTTAGACTGCTAGCAATATTAGAATATACCAAAATAAATCTATGTTTTGACATGTAACAGTTCAGAATCTTGGTAACTGCTTATTGCAGGCAGCATAGTTTAAGGCATTTTGTATAACATTTGCTTTCTAGAAACAAATAGGCATATAATTATGCTGTAATCATATAGTAATTAGTGTCTACCATGCCTATATTGCATAATTATATGCCCTGCAAATTATATGGAAATTATGCTTGGATTTAGTTTGCATTTCTTCACAGACTGATGTAGACAAAATAAAACTGGGGATTTAATGTATAATTATGACTGTAGTGATGTTCAAATCTAGTAGGATGCTACAACTAACTTTTGCCAATTAGAGTTTTTATTTATTTTTTGCTGAGATTGGTTCTCAAAAATCTGTGACTGAATCAAATAATTCCTGAATTTGTGGCTTGAGCACCACAACTATGATTGTAGTTGCCGCAAACAGCCAGATATATAAATTTGGTATATAAACAGGGGTATATAAATTTGAAAACAAGCAAACAAACAATGTCTTTATATATTTCGTTTCAAAGGCTACTTTCTGCCTCATATTTTCTGCAGTAATCATGAGTTTCTCGAGATAAGTTCAACATGCTGCAATAATCTTTTCATCTACTTTTTTGTTTTGCTAAATGCAGCGGAGCCTGTCATCTCAAAAGGGAACAACTGTCTGGATGCAGCAAAAGCTTGTAACCTGAACGATACCTGCAAGAAATATCGATCGGCATACATAACACCCTGTACCTACAGTGTGTCTAATGAAATCTGCAACAAGCGAAAGTGTCACAAAGCCCTAAGGCAGTTTTTTGACAAAGTTCCCCCCAAGCATAGTTATGGAATGCTCTTCTGTTCCTGCCGAGATACTGCATGTACAGAACGAAGACGACAGACGATTGTTCCTGCGTGTTCTTATGAGGACAGAGAGAAACCAAACTGCCTGAATTTACAAGATATTTGCAAGACGAATTACATTTGCAGGTAAGATAACACATGGCACTTGGGTGATTAATGAGGTGGTGCAAGGAACTGCTGAAATTGCCAGAGCTAGAAAACAGTATTTTCATCAAGGAGCAGGGCAATCAGGAAAGAAAACTTGTGTTCTTTAACAGAATAATAAAAAGATCTAGTTACACTAGCATATATCTATTATTCTGGGAAACTCTGTGTGTGTGTCTGTGTGTGTCTGTGTGTGTGTGTTTGTATGCATGCACACATGTATCTCTAGCAAGAAAGAAAATGAAGTGTTTAACCTTTCTAAACAATTTTACAATTCTATCTGTTCTTGGCAGCTAAATCTAACAACTTTTAATTAAGGAATATTTGATGAGATGAAAAAAATAATAACTTAGTAGTAGTTGGTGTAGTTTTCTTAAATTGTGATTGGTTCACAGCTTGGCATGGGTTCTGATATTTAAAGCAAGAACAGGGAAGGTATTGAATAGCCTGAAATGGTAAAAAAGACAATTTCCAAGAGATGATACATTTATCAATAAACAAAAAAAGCAAATAAATCTTAGTATTATAGAAGAGAGATGAAATACTATTTAAAAAAACAAGTGATGGGATCAGTCCAAATGCAGATCATCCAAAAAGATACTCACAATCTTATTTAAAATCCAGGCTGGAACAATAAATGCAAAATTTCCTATGTAATTTTTATGTTTCAGTATGTGGCTTTTATTGCATTATTTATTTATTCAATTTGTAAGACCACTTAATTTGGATGGCTCACCAAAACATCAACAAGTTAGAACATCAATGAGCATGACACAGTTTTGCTTTAAAAAGAAAAAACTGCTTTGGAAACATACCAACTAGAATTAAATAAACTTTTTAAATAAAATTTTATGATTTTTTTTCAGTCTTCTAATAAAGAGGTCATTAGTGATTTATACTGCCAAGCATTCATCATTATTTCAATATAATCAAACAAAGGTCATAATACAACTACATCATATTATGATGTAAAGACTTTTTAAATAATGACCATTATACCTGATTTTCACACATTCTTATTTAAATCATTTGAAGGGTCTGTATTTTTTTATGTATAGTTCTTCTGATGAGTATAGCACTGAAATAATATTTCCAACTGTATGCTTCCTAACTGTGTAGCTACAGCATGCATTTCTTTTCAAGTGCCATCATTACTCCACCTGCTATCTTCATTCATTTGGACATCCAACTTTCTAAATACTATTTCATTTTGTCACTTTCCCTCATCTTTCTTGACTTTATGCCTTGCGTTCTCCATCATTGCACTTTCCAGCTCTTTGGTAAAACAAAAAACACATTATTGCTATTTTTTGAAAGCAGCAGGAATATGAAAATGGATTTTTGTGCAGATTACCTATTACAGTTCTCTTTCCATCGTTGATTCTGCTTGCAGGTTTTACCTTAAATTGTCTGGTTGTTCAAGTAATTGTTTCACAGCTAAGTCACCTTTGCATATTCATCACTTGTTTACTGTAATATTAAATAACCACTTGCATGTGCCAGTCATTATTTAATATTGCTTTATTTATAAAATTGCTTTATTTATATTGCAATAATATTATTATATCAAAATGGCTGATTACTGGAATTATATTTTGCAGTGAGACATTTATATTTTGCAGTGAGACATTTTTAGACATAGATGGATAAATTCCACTCTTAATGGTTAGACAATTAGCAGATCAAAGTGTTTGTTTACTATGCCTTGTTTGTTGTTTTTGTGCATTTGAGTCTGTTGAATTTTGACAGCTGCTATTACTATGCCTCTTAATTTCACTGGTATTTGGGTTATTCTGTGTGTTTTAAGAGCTGTTTGAAGCCACCGGAATCATTACCTTTTCTTGTCCTTTCTGTCTTTATTTCCTGCTTTCTATAATAATTGAAATTAAATCTACATCAAGAATGTTTATCAAAAACAGTATTCTGCAGTGAATATAGAGACCTTGCAGTCCCATATTTGAATTTTTGCAGCGTCCCTGGAGTTGACACACAATATAAAAACCCTTTTTTAGCTTGAATACTGGAAGCTGTATTTTAAATATGGAATTAGTTTTCAGAAATTATGGAAAAACGATACATGAATATAGTTTAGATGCAACATTATTTTGCTTATTCACTTCACAGGTCTTAGCCAATAGGTCATTTTCTGAGCTTATACTATTTCCTATCCATCAACTCTGATATGAAGAGCTTCAATACAGAGTTTATTTCTAATCATATTTCATATTTCTGTGGATTAAATTATTCTACTGATAGGAATATAATACCACCAATTTTCAATCATATTATGTCTTTTCTTATTTTGAGAAACTGATAATCAATGCTGCTTATTGACACAGGCAATAAGCTTAATCTTGGCCTTATAGGCAGAGAAAATTCCACCAGTTTCATTTAATGACATAGAGACAGTTTATTATATGGTTCCTAAAAGCCTTTCCAGAACGCTGACTAGAAAAAAAAAGGTAAGCAACAGTGTGAACACTACTTGCCCATTTCAACATTGCATGAATAATAATTTGCTGGATTTACTCCATTGAATATACTGCATTTGAAACTGGAACTAGATAGACTTGAATATAAAGATGGCTTCTTCTTCTTCTCATTTATAAACATGGCTTCTTCTTCTTCTCATTTTGAAGCACACACGCTCAGCTGAAAAACATTATACATGTAGTCCTTGATTTATAACAGTTCATTTAGTGACTGATTTATAACTGTTTTTCACACTTATGAAATGTTGCAGCATTCCCATAGTCACATGATCACAATTTGGATGCTTGGCAATTGGTTCACAATCATTGCAGTGATCTCCTTGTGTGACAAGCAAAGCCAACGGGGAAGCCAGATTCACTTAACAACCAGGTTACTAATTTAACAAATGCAATGATTCACTTAACAACTGTGGCAAGAAAAGTCATAAAATGGGACAAAACTCACTTAACAAACGTCTCACTTAACAATAGAATTTTTGGACTCAGTTGTGGTCATAAGCTGAAGACTTATCTGTATTTTTTCCTGGTACTTCTATTTTTCTAGTGTTGGTTTTTTTTTTTTAATCAAAATCCTCTTTGACATTCTTTTGATTTACGTTTATCTTTTGTTCAGTGCTCTAGATTGAAAGTATGTATAACATCAGTGTCCCAAAGATGCCTTTTCAAGACACAACTGGACTTTTTTGTTTTTCTTTGAAGACATTTCACTTCTCGAGAAGCAAAACATCTTCAAAGAAAAAGAAAGAAAATCCAGTTGCCTCTTGATCAACCTGGATGATTGAGAGTCTTCAAAGCCATGCATGAGATTAAATTTTCACATGCATAACCTGTTACAATAAATGAGGAAAGTGGGGCACAGTTGCCTAATAGCAGTGATGAATAGTATAAAATTTAATTAATAAATAAAATCACAAAAGATTGGTGATTTTGCATATTACTTTTGGTTTTTTTTTTTTTAGAAGAAAAGTCAGGCTAAAAGAAAACATATAATGGAAAGAAGGGCCATCAATCAAATGACACCTGATTGGATTCCCTTTATTCATTCTGCATATAGGAAATATTCATTTTATGCATGTTTCATTAATGATAGGAAATATGGTGATTTACTATTTCACTTATCTAACTTCATTTATATATTGGGTTATTTGGTTGGAATATAATGGGAGGAGGCTTAGAACAAGTTACAAAAACTTTCATTACTTGGATCAGAGACTTTTAATACAATAAAAGGTAAAGGTTCCCCTCACACATATGTGCTAGTTGTTCCCAACTTTAGGGGGTGGTGCTCATCTCCGTTTCAAAGCCAAAGAGTCAACACTGTCCGAAGACGTGTCCGTGGTCATGTGGCCAACAAGACTAAATGCCAAAGGCTCATGGAATGCTGTTACCCTCCCACTAAAGGTGGTCCCTATTTTTTTACTTGCATTTTTACATGCTTTCGAACTGCTAAGTTGGCAGAAGCTGGGACAAATAACGGGAGCTCACCATTATGCGGCACTAGGGATTTGAACTGCTGACCTTTCGATCGACAAGCTCAGCGTCTTAGCCACTGAGCTGCTGCGTCCCTTTTTTATACAACGAGCTCGGTATTATTATCCAGATCCCCTTTGTAGGCTGCTTGTTTAAATAATTCTTTTTGCTTCTTTAATTTATTATTTGCTCTTCAGTCACAAGACTCCAACAGCTACTATGGTAACAAATAAATAGATAAACAATGCAAAAAGCATGACAAATAAGGAGAAAGAAGCAGAAAAGGGGAAAGAAATAAACAAATTGCATTGATCATGTTATCTAGTTGGGTAATGAAATGTCTACAAGCAAAACAAAACAAACTCAGAGAGCATGAAGGATTCCATGGAATATTCACTGACTGCAGTCCAGTGTAATGGCTTCTCTCAATGATAATTGATAGCAAGAAGAGTCTGATGCTTTTTAGCATAACTTTGGGTGGCCTTGTTTTTCTTGATAGCAAGAAGAACCTGATGCTTTTTTAGCATAACTTTGGGTGGCCTTGTTTTTCTTCATTTGCTGTGCTCAAATTTATCCATATTCATTAACTACCTTTGCTGCCTTTTCCCTTCATCCTCAGAAAGGTTGAAAAAAATGCTTCCAGCATCCCAGTGCTGTGATCTAAAACTGCTAGGTCTTTTAAGACATTGCAGGGAATAAATGAAAATAATTATGTCCAATGGCCTCTAGGCACTTCTTTTGGACATTGAGAGTTGTGTTTAATTTTGTTTTCTAATTGAAGGAAATAAATCAACCGAAGAGCATGTATGGTAACTTCTGGGATCTCCCATCTTATTCCTTTGTCATAATACCTCAGATAAATACTGGTGTGTGCCAATGAGAACTGGAAGCATAATCTTGTTAAATCAAAATAAAAACTCATTAAAAATGACGTATTCTTCGAAAAATAGTGCCAATCAGCTGAAACTTTACAGTCACTGAATTAAAAATGCAAGAAATATGGTACTATAAATGAGATTC